TCAGTTTTATCACGAGAACACGACTGGTTTAATCAAAACAATCATTATTATAACCAACTGTACCCGTGCTTGTTTTAACGTGCTTTTGTTTAACTGTGCTAAAAAACATATATTATTTCACACTTTGATTGTGAACTCGCGCGAATCCGGTTGCGCTCTGTAACCAAGCTTGTATCCTGGCACGATCTCGGTATTCTTTCGATACCACGAGATCGTCAGCAAATATATCTCGACTTGGTCCATTAAATGCCTTCTGATATTTTGCTTCCGGGGGATTTTATGGATTTATTTGGCGCGTGTTTCTCTGTAGCGGTGTTCATATTCAACCGCGACTCGACACCACGCTACAACTAGTGATCCGAATTCCGGAACACGCCGCAACCTCTGATCCAATCACCCAAAGAAGTCAATTTGGCGAGTCTATTATTTATCTATCCACGTCTGTCGTATATTTTCATATTACCTTTCAATGTATGATATACTCGACATGATGGATATAGGTAAGAATAGTATAAATATAATAGACTCCCATGTACGTGTACCGAATCCTTGGCACTTTTTATTCGCGTGATGGTAAATTCCACGCTTTATTTGAGAAAATTTCATCTATTAACTATTCTCTTCGCTGACCTGGCTACTGGGTACGTAATGCATACGCTCTACCGCCTACCATCCAGCTTCTAACGGTTTAGTTGAAAGGTTTCCACGCCAACTTAAAAGTCGTCTTCAAGCACGCGAAAACGACGATTGGTACGAAACCTTACCGCTCGTCCTCTTAGGTATTCGAATGAGCTTGAAGGCAGATATCCAATTTTCCGCCGCTGAACTTGTGTACGGCACGACATTGCGTCTGCCCGGGGAATTCTTCACACCACGGACCAGACCTGATTTCGGCAAATCACACTACGTCCAACGACTGTCTGCATTTATGCGAACGCTGCCTTCGGTGTCAACTCGAATACAACATCGACAGGTTGCCTTCGCTTGAGAGTGATCTGCGTGTTCACATGTTTTCATACGAGTAGATTCGGTACGCAAACCTTTGCAACAGCCTTACGAAGTCCCTTTTCACGTGATCGCTCGTCACGAAAAGACCTTGGAGGTTGATCGACATGGCCGCGTTGAAATCGCCAGCATTGATCGTCTCAAACCAGCACACGTCGATGACAGTGCCCTATCTGATAACTTGAGATTCAAGGCTAGACCTATACAACCTACTAGCGGGATCCTCAAACCATCTCCAGATCCCATGCTAGATACACCTGAGACCTCATTCTCACGTCCCAGTCAACAGCACGCGTCATCTGCATCATTTACGGACGAAACGACAGTCTCACGTCCAGATCAGCAGACCACGCCGCCCGTGACTTCCGATGAGGTAGCAGGCTCACGCGATACGAACGAGACTACCGTCTCACGTTCCGGTCGCCGAGTACGGTTGCCCGTACGCTTCCGCGACTAGCCGCACAGTTAACAACCGATACGGTGTAGGACTATTCCTATACTACATGCATGCTACACTCTTCTCTTCTTTGATTCTTTTCTGTATCCTGAGCCCACGCCTCCCACCATCTCCGTTTGGTACCGTCGACTTCAGTCAACTTTGGCGAAAGCTGGACTGGCCACCCACGCTCTTGTCAACGCACTCAGTCGATATTTTGGTTTCGAATGCTTGGCACACGCTTGATCTCGAACTTTTTCGTTATGGTCGCTTCTGGTTCCTCGGCCTAACGTGGTTCCGTCCTACGTCTGCAGCGTTTCTGGTCCGCATCACTACGAACGCAATCTTCAGTTTCTGGATACAAACCACTCTGGTGTAGTATGCCAACTCAAGCAACAAATACAGCACACCGCCCCTGGTACCGTTCTCCGAAAAGGAACTTCGTTGGCAACTCGACGATCAACGATCGCTTTCCTGCTCCATCAATTCTTCCGTCTTACAATCGCTCTTCAGCCGATCAGTCCCACGATTCAAGCCGCTTTTTATCGAAAGTGTAAATCCTTTCTAGTGAGTGGCTCCAGTAGTGACTCATTTTATCACGAGAAAACGATTGGTTTATTGAAAACAATAATTATTATACCCAACTGTACCCGTGCTTGTTTTAACGTGCTTTTGTTTAACTGTGCTAATTACAGCCATTTTGTGCTTCCATTACTTTCCATCATTGTTCCGTGGGTTTTGGCTTTACTCTCACGTACTCCGCTTTCCTGCTCTTGCTTGTACCATTTCTTGGCACGATCTTGGTATTCGTTCGATACCGCGAGATCGCCAACGAAATAAATCTGGTTACGTTCAACCTTCGCCTTCTGATTTCTTTGGCCGTGTTTCTTGGTAGCGGTGTTCTTAGTCGATTGAAACTCGACGCCACGCTAGAAGAGCATGATTCTACATGAGAATTGTTGAGGTGACAAAGTAATCGAGAAGTGTGGTCCATATCATAACAAATGAAGAACGCGTTATCAACATATCTAGAGTAGTATGTTGTGTTTTAGATTTCATGTTTCAGTTTTGTTTGTTCTAGGTTAGCCATTAAGATATCGTCTAACTAGACTCCAATGGTGATCTCATGGCCACTTGATCGGTTGTTTTGTATAGTTGATAGTTGAGTTAAAAATGAACCTCATTGTTAATAATTTTCTCAACTCATTTTGAGCCAAAATAGTAATTCAGATTGTTGGCAAATCATATTAATAGTTTCTTTTAATGGTATACCCATAAATAATGAATACATATCAAAAGATACCATGGATTTATTTGCTAAGTTATATTATTAGTTAGAATTTTAGATTGTATGCAGCTGCTGAGAAACTATAAAGTGGAATGTTGAATTCATTTTATTTTGCAAACCTTGCTCCGTTCAAAAAATAAATGTCAACCTAATAAATGAAATGTGTTGTCCAACCTGCTTTCAATGTGTTTCACTGATTCCAAGCAACTCCACGTTGTATCTTTTCATTTTTGCAGCATTTTGGATGACTCTTCAGGTCTACCACATTGTACGAACATTCTGTGTACTTGAATTATTGATTGGTCTGGTTGTCAGGAGAGGCACCAACCTCGTGACTTCCGAAGGAACTTGGCTTTCAACATGAGGCGTTATAACTCTTCTAAATGAAGACATTCTAAATGCCAGGGCAGAGTTTAAATGGTTTGAATTATTATTTCTGGTCAGCGTTGCTTTAGCGATTTAGTTTTCTACGGGATGAGGTCGCTAACCCCATACCCAACCCTCCTTTTTTATCCGGGCTTGAGACCGGCAGTACCCCAGAGGTGCTCCGCATGGAGTTATTAAATGAGATATGAGTAAATATCACTATTAAAACAAGGACTACTTGTAAACAAGTTGATTTATGGAGTCACTTACTAATGCAGCTATGAAATGCAGATATTGATTTACTCAGGATAAGATCACTTAAGCAAAGGCAACATTATGAGTTTACATGGAATATTACTTATGAATAGTTCATTATTCTACAAATTTAAATAGAGATGTAAAAACCTTTATTTCTCTATTTAACTGTTATCATGCTCTCTTCGTTTCTTCAACATATTGATAGTGAGTGTCCGCACCCAAGACTGATAGGTCCTGGGTTCGAACCCCGCGAGGCGGAATCATAGACGTGCACTTTTGAGGAGTCCAACAGTAATACAAAACAACCATCCAGTGCTTCCAGGTTTTCCATGTTGGTCTAGTTTTGAATTGACTCACGATCTCAATTATTAAATTACTAAGATCTCCACCAAACTCCCTTTTGATATTTGTTAGGTCCCGACAAGAATAATGGATGGTAACTTTTGGGATCCATTTATGGACCGATACTAAACGTATATTTTTATCGTATAATTGTTAAGTAACTAAACTATTCATGTTCGTGTTTCTCATATTTTGAGCATTATTTTGGCCTATGAATTATTATTACATGATTTACCATTCTTGAATTATGCTCTGTCTATTAATTACTACCTCCCACATTCACAGACACTTTTGGTTAAATCTTGTAAAAATGTTAGTTCCTATTTTATGGTATGATGTGGTCTATATGGTTGGTATATAAACTCAGTGTGTTTGAAATATAATGTAACATACTGCAGAGTCTGAGATTGATGTTCTGGACTTAACTCGCTGGGCTAGGCGGATAGCAGTACTAATAAGGACTCTAGACTACTCGTACGGGTTTTATGCCTCATTGGTCTGATCGATAATTCACTACTCCCTAGTTAGCGGTATCGTTGCGTTATACAATAAACAGGGTACACGGGTCAAAAGTGATAATAATATTATCTAGTTATTCATCTCAAAATATACATTTATTTTCTCTAACAAATCCTTGTTGAGAGGCAAAATTCGACTCACACGTCCGCGTCGTGCCTCCTGGATAATGAGACGAATGACTCATGAAATAACGTGAGCGGTAACCCGGGTTGTGGAGATCGGGCTAATCACCCACTTTTACCTATACCCATCAATCGATTACGAACTCCACAGATAAACATAGCACAACTACATTTGGAATGGAAAAAGACAAAAATACTTTCTCGAAAGTGGTGCATGTATCATATGAAGTTGCTCGTCGTTGGGAAAACTCCAAAGGATTGCAGAAACAACCATTCAAGTCCCTATAGTTATGCCGTTCTTCGATGTAACCCACAGAGAAACACAGCACGATTACATTTGAAATGGAAAGTGACAAAATTTTCGAAAGTGGTGCATGTATCATATGGAGTTGCTCGTCATTGGGCAAACTCCTAAGGATTGCAGAACACAACTATTCTAGCCCTGGTAGTTGTGCCGTGCTTTGATGTGGCCTGTTCTTCTCCAGAAGGGCCTACTAGGCTTCATCAACTTGTTTGACTGGAAGGGGGAGGGGGCAAACAAATCCTTGTTGGTTATACGCTAATCAATCATATAAATCATTTCAATATTACACATATGATTGATATGAATGTGTTACCAAAGAAATAGAATAGCAAAACAAAAAAAGACAAATCATCATCATCATTATCATAATTAAACTTTTTATTATATCATAGAAGAAAGTTTCTCTACATAGATGTTACGTTTAAAAACAACCAAAGAAAAAAGAAAACGAAACAAAACATTTCAAATAGAGTATAATTGTACATGTAACATCTTTGGTACAATCAATAATCAATGAATAACCTTGAGGTGACGCTAAACTAACCTTGAGAAAGGTTCCACCAAATCAAGGTCACAAATTCATGTGAACAATTCGAATTTTGATTTACATTTAATAATTAAGGTTTTAGAATTAACTAATATCAGTTATAATGATGTCAAAACTTTATTTCGTCGAATGGATAAGTGAATAATTTCGCGCTAAAATTCAAAACCTTTTATCTTATACCTGATTGGTTCGTTCATAAATGATAGTCTCACCTCACTAATGATATATATATAGATATAAGTATCATTTAAGTAGTATATGAAAACATGAATACAAAATGAATTCTATAAAAAAAAACATCATTTATATATCTCTATATAAAATGTATTCAATAAACAAATTACAACTGTACTATTCTATGTACAGATCAAGTTTAATAATAAAAAAACAAATCCAAAATGATCAAATGATATTGAATTGTTTTTGTATTTGATCTAAATTGAATTCACATTCATTAACTTTTTCAATAAAATAATTTCTATTTTTAATTATGTTTAATAAATCCGCTTGTACATAATAAATATTTTCCCATTTCATAGCTTCTTTATTATCAAGATGATGATAATGATTAGATTCTGAAGAGGTTATGTCATCATCATTATTATTATTACCATTACCATTACCAGTACTACTACTACTACTACTACTACTCGTAGTAGTAGTAGTAGTATTAAGTTGATATAAATCAATGACATTAGAACCATCTTCTTCAAATCGTATATTATCATCAAATAATATATGTTGAATATATGGATCATATGGATTAAACCATAAAGGTTTCGATGATTTATAATGATAATTATGTGATTTCCAATAATTGAAATCATCTATTACATGTAGTACACCAATTTGTTTTGACCATATTTGATAAATTTCATTAGGATTATTTGATATATTAATAAATTGTTTATCAGGATCTAATAGATCTTTATTTGGAATTTCTTTTATAAATTGAAATAATGGTTCATGATCAGAACGTTTTAAATACCATTTAGTATAATCAATTGGTATATATTGTTTAGCATTCAATGGTGCTTTCTCCTGGGAATGTTTACCATGAATATATGCTTCAATAGCTGATAAAATATGTTCACCATCTTTACCATAGGTACGTATAAATATAGCAAATTGACGATTTGTTTCAATAAGCCATGTTAATAAACGATAAAAAGCTGGCATTAAATAATGATAATAATGATTATCCACATTCTCATTTATATTATTATTATTATTGTTGTTGCCATGGTGATTATTAATATTTCCACTATTTACACATAAACAATATGGTGAATTAATAGATTCAATTGGTGTTAATTTTAACATTTCTAAATATTCATTAAATAAATTACGATATGGTAAACCTTCTGGTGTTTGAGTAAAATTACCTAAATATCTTCTTATTCTACCTCTATCGGATGTTATTTTAACAATTTGTTTCTCTAATAATTTATATATACTTATTGCATTTGGTTGTGGTTGTTTAATACATAATGGTATTGGTAAACGATTCCAACATGCTAATGTTGATTTAAAATTAGCTAATTCATTTGATGTTAAATTTTCAAAATTTTCACCTTCATATGGTTGACGAGTATCCATTGGAGTTGTGATTGTTGTTGTTGTTGTGGGGGTGGTTATTGTTGTTTTACAAGAGTTAACTTCATGATCTAATTTTTTTTTAAAATAAAAAAGAAAAGAAAGTTATTGATTAAAGAAATGGAAATGGATCGTGAATGTGCACTGTTGACGAGTCTCATATTAGGACGAAACAGTCGTCCAGTACTTTCAGGTTTTTAATGGTGGTCTGACATCAATCGGTGGATGATCTGAATAAAAAAACGAAATAATCTTCACATTCCCTATATTGATAATATTTGTTAGTAAAAAAATACTGATTTTGTGTTATAAACTATGGGTTCTTGCCCCTATCAATGTTCAGCGTAATAATACCGCCAATTAGGGAACAGTGAATTATTGACCGGACCACTGACGCATAAAACAAGTATGAGCTGTATAAAGTCTTTATTGGTCTTGCTTCCCATCTAGCCCTGCTTGTTAGAGTCCAGAACACCAATCAGAGCTTCCATGATATGAATTATGTATTTCAAACATATTGAGTTTATATACCAACGAAAACAGACCACATAGTACCATGAAATAGGAACACAACCTTTGTACAAGATTTAGCCAGAAGTGGCTGTGAATGTGGGAGGTAGTAATTGATATTTTTAAATACTAGCTAAGTGGATAATGCGATAGTGTTTGAAGCGAACGATACTGGGATCGAGTCCTAAAGTGAGTATCGAATGTGAGATACAGGTACATTCAGCTGACGAGTCCCAAATAAGATGAAACGCATGCCCCGGATTCTATTGCTAGCCACTACCTATCTTTACTTATGAAACAACTGTTTACTGAAAAATTTGTCTTGATCGGCAATTGTAAAATGTAATTGTTAAAAAGTAAATGAATATCTAGTTACTTATTATAGAATGTGAATCTAATTAGAAACGTAGTGCTCAAAGCATTGAATCAGCTATTTATACAACAACTATGGTATAGATTCACAAAAACCATAGTATTAACCATATTGAGAATGTTAATTAAAGTCTGTCATTTACGATTACAATTCCAAGTGATGTGTACCAGAAAATCAAAATGAACAAGTGAACTGATCAAAATCTATCTATCTTTGTAATGCGTCAATCATTAATAAATGTAACTATTGAAATATGTAATTTCATCATAACAGATTACAATGAACACATTGACATTTTATTTAAAAACAAGTATGGAGCTGCACATACCAAAATGACCCTAAAGAACTTAAAATAACATTGACTTGTCATTTGAACACTTCTCTTGAAACATTATTTTGAGAATCAGAGAGAAATTTCTGAATATTATAGTAATTTTAATGGTGAAATTCATGATTGAGTTGAAGATAAACTACCATGGAAAAACTAGAAGCAATGGACGGTCGTTTCATCCTAATGTGTGACGCCTTAGAAGTGAGCATCCACGATCCCGCCTAGCGAGTTCGACCGGGTCTGTTGTAAGATGGTAACTCATTGAAGATAATGGTGGACGGTGGAGGAATTTCGTGAATCGATTGAAATTAGACGCTAACACCGTTAGACGCCGACTCAGTGGTCTTGAGATTAGGCGTTCGCGCGCGATACCGATACATTGTGCGTTCGAACCCGCACACATGATCGTGGATTTGCACTACTGTAGAGTCCCATACTAGGACGAAACGTCCGTCCAACTATTTCGAGTCTTCAATGGTAATATAGCTTCAATTGACTCATGAATTCAACTATTAAAATTATTTTAATAATTTGAAGCAGTTTGTAGAAATTGGACGAATAAATTAGGTAAGAAAGATAATTATTTCATTTATTTGTTAGCTTATACTTAATTATACATAAGTAGTAAGTCAGTTATTATGTAAATTTTCAACCTCTATGTCTCACCCATATACATATAACGTGGATGTGCACCGCTGAAGAGTCTCATATTAGGACGAAACGCAGGTCCAGTGACTCCAGGTTTACAATGTTGGTCTAACATCAATCGGTTCATGATCTCAATCAAAAACGTATTGATCTCCACAACCCTATACTAATATATATATATATATATGATTACTCATGAAACTTAATGATTTCACCATATAGTACAGTTTTTAGTGATGAGTACACAATACACCACGAGATAAGTACTTATTACTTTAATACATATATCTATATGTAGACATGATTAGTATATTCGGTATGTTTGTTTTAAAAGTAACTTATTCCATGAAAATAATGAAGTAAGTAACAAGACTTCACCTGCACAGAATTCCGTCCTAATCAAAGCAAACAACATATTTTTCTTTATACTATGTATCATTAATTAACTAAGCATGTATATAAATGAGCATGACCTTCTTTATTATTGTATACAGAGTGTAATTGATAAATCATATTGCATTACTTATTTATGTGCGTGTGTATGTGTAGGTGTGTGTGTGTGTTGATCTTGTTTGATACAAATAGTGTAATGAGTGAAAGAGTGATTAATTAAAATATTTATACAAGATTAAGATACATAAAGTAGAATGTACATCATTCTAGCGTTAAATTCTTCTAGTGTTCTGTTGACACCGTTTTTCTTCTTCTTCTTCTTCTTCTTCTTCTTCGTTCCATTCAATCTTCTGGTGTTGTTGTTGTTGTTGGTCAGTTTTAATTATCATGATAGTTTTTAATGCTAGTTCATTGGAAGAAGACTAGTTTTACATAATTTCCTTGTTAGATAGCATTCGTAAGTATGTTACACCATCTTGAAGTCTAAGACATTACTAATATATAACTTAGATACCTCTGTTGTAATCATACAGTACTAAGGTATCTACAAATGATCAATTACTAAGTAATGGGTAATATTTTGCTTAAAGTAATTAGTCCATTTGATAAATTTCGTTAGTGTAATATAAGAAGATAAAAATTATGAGAACTATGTGATGATACATATATTAGCGAAATACATCTAACAACAAAGGCGTATACTAAGGTTTATTGAAACTTCAATGGTTAAGATCATGAGTCAATTGAAGCTAGACCACCATGGAAAACCTTGAAGCATTGAACGGCCGTTTCGTCCTATTGTGGGACTCCTCAGAAGTGCGCGTCCATGATCCCGCCCCTGCGAGATTCGAACACAAGACCTACTGGCTTTGCGCGCGAGCACTTAACCACTAGACCACTGAGCCGGCATCCAACGATGTTAATGTCTAACTTCAATTAATCCACGAAATTGAGCTACACATCCAACATTGTCTTCAGTGAGTTATTATCTCACAAAAGACCTGGTTGAACTCCACTAGTCACTACTCTTCATTAGAAACCTCACTTGACACCTTAGTCATATAAAAAATCAAACCCCCTTTGTGTATTCAAAAAAGTTTGTTCTCACCTTAAATCTACCCCGGTAATGTTAGCTTATTATTATTCAGAGTGATGAAGTTTCAGATTGTTTTAATATTATAAGTATGGGGTTGTGAACATTATTAAGTTTTTGATTGAGATCATGAATCGATTAATGTTAGACCATCATTGAAAACCTGAAAACATTGGACGGCCAACACTTCCTATTGTAGGACTCATCAGAAGTGCGCATCTACGATTCCATTCGCAGAATTCGAACCCAGGGCCTTCATATTGTTTCTTTATTATGGTGTCGTGGCTCAAAGAACATATAATGGCGACCGTCTGTTGCAGCTATGCTCAGATAACCGCCTCTTTCTTGCTAATACTAACTTCAAGCATAAGGAAAAACATCTTTTAACATGGCGACCCCCTAATTCGTCCCAACGTTGGACCCAAATAGATCACATCGCTATCAGCCACCGACGGAGGGGCTCGATAGGAGATTGTCGCTCATTCTGGAGCACATGCTTAGATTCAGATCATGCTCTAGCATGAGCGCGTATCTGTCTGCGTCTTACTGGACGTAGGAAAGACGCTGCAAGGAAACCTCTTAGGGCCCTACTTAATGATAGTCAAGCTAAGAGTATATTTCAGGAACAACTAGGAAAACAGTTAGGCAGCGATGTATGTGATGCCCACCCTGAGGCAGCATGGAATGATATCCGAAAAGCTGTGGAAACAGCAGTGATATCTGCTAGTAAGGTAAACCACAAGGTTAGGGAGCAACACTGGATCTCAGAAGCATCTATCGCACTGATAGATGCTCGGAAACTCATTCCACCTGGCTCTGAACATAATGAAGATCGGAGTCAGCTTAAGCGCAAGCTGACAAAAAGTCTACGCAATGATCGCGAACAGTGGTGGGTAGCGAAAGCAAGAGAGATGGAAAAGGCAGCGGCAATAGGTAATAGCAGACAATTGTTCAGACTCGTTAAGGAAACCGGAATTAGGAACCCGACTGTTAGCGAAACAATCTCAGAGAAAGATGGACATATTATTCATTCTCAATCCAGGAGATTGGATCGATGGGCAGAACACTTTAGGGATCAGTTCAACTGGCCTTCAGCCACACTTCGGTTTCCCACGATCTCTAGTCAACCTGAATGGCAAGTTAATGTAGGTCCTCCGTCTCTTTATGAAGTTGAAAAAGCCATAGGATATCTGAAACGAGGGAGAGCAGCAAGCCCTGACAGGTTTACTCCTGAGATTTTTAAGGATGGTGGTCCAGTATTAGCAATGAGGTTAACCGAGGTCTTAGGTAGAATTTGGGAACTGGACGTAATCTCAATCACTGATTGTGCCAGTCTATAAGAAAGGACATAAGTCCTCTTGTGACAATCACAGAGGAATCAGTTTGAATAATATAGTGTTTAAAATATTAGCTTCAATAATACTTCGACGCCTAATCAAAGCTCGTGAAGAACAGACTAGAGAAAACCAGACTGGTTCTCGACCTGGACGTGGTTGTATAGATCAGATATTCACACTACGTCAGATTCTAGAACACAGACACACGTTTAGACGCCCCACAATGGTAGTATTTCTCGAACTTAAGGCGGCATTTGACTCTGCTGATCGTAAGGTTCTATGGCAGTGTTTGTCACTGAAAGGAGTACCAAAGAAGTACACTAACCTTATAAAGGCTCTCTACTCGAACACAACTAGTAGAGTGAGAGCTTATGGCGAACTGTCATCAGAATTGATTACCTCAAGTGGTGTTCGTCAGGGCTGTCCACTCTCTCCATTCTTGTTCAACTTTGTGGTCGACGTACTTTTAGAGATAACACTTTCCTCGTCTAGATTTCCAGGGGTTGAACTTCTACCGCGAGGTTCACTTGTTGACTTAGAATATGCTGATGACATAGTTTTATTTGGCGAAGACGCTGACAAAATGCAGAGTCTTTTGACCACTCTAAGCAACAATGCAAGCATGTTCGGCATGCGATTCTCCGCCTCGAAATGCAAAATGTTGCTTCAGGATTGGGTTGCACTGACACCCGAACTAATGATAGGGAGTGAAGTAATTGAGCGTGTCGATCGCCTCACTTATCTTGGAAGTCTCATCAGCCCATGTGGTCTGGTGTGTGACGAAATCTCAGCACGGATACAGAAAGCTCGACTAGCTTTTGCCAACTTGCGTCATTTATGGCGTAGGCGAGATATCCGTCTATCAATCAAAGGACGTGTTTACTGCGCAGCAGTGAAACATGGCCGGTAAGAGTAGAGGATATCCGTAGGTTACTAGTATTCGATCATAGGTGTCTTCGAAACATTGCGCGTATATCATGGGACCATCGAGTAAGTAACGCAGTTGTTAGGAAACGGGTACTACGTAAGGATGGCAAATCAATTGATGACTTAGTGAAACTTCATCAGTTGAGATGGCTGGGACACGTGTTACGTATGCCCAACTACCGACTGCCCCGACGTGCGATGTTTTGTTGTATAGGAGTAGGTTGGAAGAAAGCTAGGGGCGGCCAAACCAAAACATGGCACAAACCCATGAAGTCACTGACAATTAGACTGTGCCATGTTGGTAGGTGTAGACTAACTAGTTGCGAACCGCGAGATGATAGCACTCGATGGTTAGAGATCTTGAATGACATGACTCAAAATCGTTTGCAAGGACGCAAGTGCATCCACTATTTGTGTTCTCTGAAATTCTAATCTTCTGAATTCTTCATGTCCTTCATTTTCATTACAAATTTATTTCACTGGATTGTACTCCTTGAATAACATGTTCAAACCCTAATCTTTCTGATTACTACTTATACTCTTGCTACCTCTACCACTATGGGATTTGAATCGACAACTGCATCTCTGTGCTAATGTGGTATGGCAACTCGAACTGATGTACGTACATACGAAGTTTTACGTTGTTACTGACTGACTGACGAATATCAATAAATATTTCACACAATATCAAGTCACTTAATCAACAGGAATAGACCAGAATTAAGAAGTACATAAAATTGGCATTGAAAATTACTCTCAATGATTGACTACATGTGGTTTATGATAGTTTAGATTGTAAAATAACACCATAAATTGGGGGACAAAAAAATAATCAATTAACAACGTTTAATTTTACTGGATATTTGTTAGTTTGAAACTCCTCCACTTAATGTATACATTCATGATTAAACTTTAATAAATAAAACAGTCAATGAGTTGGTTTTTGGGCTAATTTATTGAGAACTAAACTTATATTTTATGCATTTTAGTCAGTTCTCTTTATTGGGTATTAATCAATCTATACAAATGCTGGGTAATTAATTCACTAAGTGAATGATTTCTAGTTAGAATCTTCAATATGAATGTCAAGACAATTCTAATGAACAGGACTGAAACTTGGAGAACCACTAAGACCATCATTAAAAATGTACAAGTATTTATAAATAGTTGTCTATGCAAAATACTCAATATCCGTTGACCGAATATCATCAACAACAGCCTAATATGGAAGAGAACAAACTAGCTTCCAGCAGAGTAGTAAATTAGGAAAAGACGTCGGAAATGGATAGGACATATATTGAGGAAATCATCTAACTGCATCAAGAATCAAGCACTGCCTTGTGGTCGTGAAGGGAAACGAAAAAGAGGAAGGCCAAAGAACACATTACGTCGGGAAATGGAAGCAGATATTGAAAGAATGAATAGCAACTAGAAAGAACTGGAAAGGATTGTTTAAGACAGGATTGGATTGAGAATGCTGGTGGACGGCCTATGGTCGTAATTGAGTAAGTGGATGGTTTTAATAACTGATTTTATATTGTGTTAAAAAACTCAGTTGCAGAGTGTCTTCAATTTAATTTAATACTAAAATTAATTGACTGGTCTTCACGGTCTCCCACACTGTCCGAACATTTCATATACTTATACTAATTGTAGCTCTGGTTGTTAGAAGGGGCATCGGTCTAGTGATTTCCGAAGAATTTCGGCTTCCATCATGAGGCTTCGAAAATTAGAGGGCATAGTTTTAATGGTTTAATTTATTTATTCTCATAAGCGTTTTTTAACAAGGTTGTTTTTTACGGGATGGAGCTGCTGACCTCATGCCCGATCCTACTCCTTCACTTGATCATGGAATCGTCAGTAACCCTAAAAGACAGACAGGCAAAATCCTAAAAGGGAACAAAAAAGAGGAAGGCCAAAGAACACACTGCGTCGGGCATCGGAAGCAGACATTAAAAGGGTGAGTAGCAACTGGAAAGAACTGGAAAGCATTGTCCAGGACAGAGTTGGATGGAGAATGTTGGTGGGTGACCTATGCTCCTTCACAAGGGGTGAAGTAATTTAGATTATTTTTTAATTGACAATGCTATGTGACCTAGTGTAAATGATATACGATTTTAATTTCGTAGTGGCATATGATCTGTATTGTCTATCTGATTAATCCAGTTATTTATTAGAAGTGCTATGCGACAACACATTAGTCAAAGTGAAGGTGTACAATTATCTCTTTCTTATTATTTCGAATTGTAAACAAGGTTACTCAGTTGAAACATTCTTCTTGAATTTGATTGGTGATAATGTTCTAGGAAAATATATGAAACAACTTTGTTTTACTGCGATGATATACAACCTATTTGAATAGCTACTTTTGCGGCGGAGTTTCGTATTGTGAACTGGATGGTTTGGTCATAGAGCCTTCATTATTCTCCTTCTGAACAACATCATCAGCATAAACTTCAGGTAGAAGTGAAGTGTTCGAATTTCTCCTCATTAAAATTACAGCTTGTCCCGTTGATCTTGACCTTGATTAGCTATCCATCCATCAATCAGAAAAACCACAAGTACATATAAGACCAAGAATTGATTCAATGGGAGATAGAATCAAAATTAAGAGGCAGATAATAAGAGGTTAACGGCCAACAATAACCAGTCAAAAGTGAAGTTAACAGGACAAGCTGTCAGTTAAAACAGGAGAAATTTGATCACTTTATGAAGTTTATACTGATGATGTTGTTCATAAGAACAATGAAAGCTCCGTGACCAAACCATTTATTTCAGGGAACAAAACTTCACCAAGATCATCCATCTGAGTTACAAATTATCTTCACTATCTCAAAATCATATGAAAACATTTGAATAGCGTTTGTTCATTTGACGGACACCCTACTAAAATATACCATATAATTTGTGGTCACGACCTCGCCTCGAGAGATTCAAACCCAGGACCTACTGGTTTCGCGTCCGAACGCTTAACCACTACACCACTGAACCGACATCTGATGGTGTTAATGTCTAACTTCGACTAATCCACGACATTGAGCGACATATCCAACATTGCCTTAAGTGAGTTACCATCTCACAACAGACCCGGTTGACCTCCACTGCTCACTGCTTCTCACTAGAACTCCAGGAAATAACTCTTGAAGTCAGTCACTAGTGAGTATATGTTGATTCATATCAGAAAGGTTTTTGTGGATGTTATAGTAATTTCAATGGATGAGATCATGAATCATTTGAAGCTAAAGTCCCACAATAGGATGAAACAGTCTTCCAATGCTTCCAGGTTTTCCATAGTGGTCTAGCTTCAATTGATTCATAATCTCAACCATTGAAATTACTATAATCTCCAGAAAAACCCTTCTTATTTGTATTCGTTCAGTGTAAACCATTTCTAAAATACTGTTAGAAAGTTATAAATCTATGTAACTCTATATCTATGTTAGTGTATATGGTGACATAATGAACATACTAGATACAATAGTCTAATGAAAGACAAGATAGTGTATGCCAATCTGACCTACAACTGAAGTCTTTGTTTATATATATATATATATATATATATATATAATATATATATATATATATATATATATATATATAAAGTATGTACAAGAGGTAAATGCCAATAACATGCATAGTTCTTTATAGCAAAATATTTAACGACACTAAGAATAATTGAATAAAAGTAAAGATATGACAATGAACCTTAAGATCTCATAGCTAACGTAATAGTAAAGTCCAATTTCTTAGAAACGAAAGTATTTCTATGTTCCAGAGAGAGAGAACACACACACACACACACACAAAGTAACTTACTTTGATTTGGATTCATTTCATTAAGAACTTGATACTTTACAGGTTTTATACTTTCACTTTGACTTTCATTTATTTCAATCATATCACTTGAATGATCTTGATTACAATCCATTGGTAAGATAGTTTCCGAATTGTTTTGTACATCATTACTTTCATTTTTTTCAGATTTTTCTTTTAATTGACCTATCAAAGAATAGATATAAAGATAAACTATAATTTTATGGTGTCTGATAAGTCTTGGAAATTAAGTGCTATATTCGTTTCCTAAGGTATTCTGTAACCCCCAAGATAGAACTAGACAGCGACCTGAACACGAGAGAGAAGACTCAAAGTATGCGAGAAGTACTTTACTCTAAAGGTTTAATACAGAAAATATAGGGTTTTTATAATATTTTAAATGTCGTTAGGTTGCTCAAAGATTCGGGAATGCTACTAAACATAGTAGCAGTATAGTAATCAGCCATTCAGAAACTCTACATGTGACGTTTCGCTTCCTTGATATTTCTGGCTAAAACTTCAAGTGAACACTGATTGGATGAAACGCTTCTTAGTGTTTCCTGATCCTTGCTTGGTTTTTGCGAGGAATTTTTTAGATCACCCCAACAGTGTCACTAAGGTGGTTTCTCATGAATAGTGAGAGAATTTTCAATGATCAAAATCAATCAGTGAAATAATGATCTATAGATTAATGCAATAATATGTTGTGGCTGAATGATGTTAGCCGTTGACTGATATAAAGAAAGATAACACTAAACTAGGTGAATAGGGTAATTCTTGGTATAATATAACACCCTGCTTATATATGCAGATTATGGTCATCAGATAAATATGATAAAATGTCATACTCATTTTTTTAATCTATTGAGGACTGACTGTTAGTTCAAACCATCGGGGATTGTAATATGCGATAATTGAGCTTACAGCGGATTTCCATGTTACTGATATCTGTGAGTGTTAAATCCGAGGGAAGATTAAATCACGAGTAACTTCTGAGACTGATTGATGGACTAATACCATCTGCATATTCTTATGGTATAACTATTCAATAGTTAGATTATGTATATTTATATTCCTCTTATTATAAGCTTCATTTTGACCTATAATTTATCATTGTACGATTTACTGTTCTTAAGCTATGGTCAGTTTATTGACTACTGCCTCCCACGTTCACAGCCACTTTTGGTCTTTATTGTGTACAAATGTTATTTTCTGTTTTATGGTGCGTTGCGGTCTGTTTGATTGATATAGAAACCCAGTATGTCTGAAATAAAAGATTCGACTCGATTCGCATATTGGAAGCTGGTATTAGTGTTCTGAACTCAAGTGGACGGGTTAGGCAGATATAAGGTCAATTATGACGCTAGGCTGCTCATATCGGTCGAACGTCATTGGTCTGGCACAGTGCTAAGCGTGTATGAGTCGTATTTTGATTGGTGGATAAATTACGTGATAAAAAGCCGGACATAAAGTCATAACAGTGAGGTAAATAGTTTTTTCAGTGATGGTAATATAGAGAAGAAAGACTGCATATAAGGATATATATATAGTACAGGAAGAAAGAATTTGTTCTGATCAATTCTTAGCCATGTCACCAAGAATCTCCAACCAATGGTTACGATAGTCACGAGGACCCCAACTAAGTAGTCTGCATTTCCAACATAGCTCAGACCAGAATTTAGTGACTTTATGGACTGATGTCACATTTAGGTTTGGCCGCCCCTAACATTCTTCCAACCATCTCCGACACTAGTGAGCATTGCGCATCGTAGTAATCGGTGTTCAAGCACACGTAACACGTGGCTCAACTATCTCAGTCGATGAAGATTCACAATCTCATCAACTGATTTACCATCATCAGTACATGATACCCTGCGTCTAACCTCACTATTACTTACCTGGTGAAACCAGTAGATATGAGCTATATTTCTAAGGCATCTGTGGTCAAATACTATGAGTTTACGAGTATCTTCTACTCTTAATGGCCACGTTTCGCAACCGTAAAGTAGAACAGAACGAACTATCACACAGTATATTCATCCGTCAATTCATACAAGAATATCTTGCCTTTGCCATAGGTGACGTACGTTGGCAGTAGCCAAACGAGCTTTTTGAATCCATACTGAAATTTTTCAGATGCAGGTAGATCAACCAGACGAATCTCAAATAGAAAGAAATACATATTCACGATTCCAATGTTAACCACTATCTAATACAGTCAGTCAGTCAGTAACAACGTAGAACTTCGTACGTACCTACATCAGTACAAGTTGTAATACCACATTAGCACAGAGATGCAGTTGTCGATTCAAATCCCATAGTGGTAGAGGTAGCAAGAGTATAAGTAGTAATCAGAAAGATTAGGGTTTGAACATGTTATTCAAGGAGTACAATCCAGTGAAATAAATTTGTAAAGAAAATGAAGGACATGAAGAATTCAGAAGATTAGAATTTCAGAGAACACAAATAGTGGATGCACTTGCGTCCTTGCAAACGATTTTGAGTCATGTCATTCAAGATCTCTAACCATCGAGTGCTATCATCTCGCGGTCCGCAACTAATTAGTCTACACCTACCAACATGGCACAGTCTACTTGTCAGTGACTTCATGGGTTTGTGCCATGTTTTGGTCTGGCCGCCTCTAGCTTTTTTTCAACCTACTCCTACATCACAAAACATCGCACATCATGGCAGTCAGTGGTCGTACATGTGTACCACGTGTCCCAGCAATCTCAACTGATGAAGTTTCACCAAACAGTAACTACTTCATTTGAAAAGTATCAATCCATCATCTCAAAATTGACTGTTCCTTTTTCAAATATCAGTTCATGGTCTCAAATTTCATTTTTCCTACATTTTACTACCAATTACTTTCCGTTCCCATTGTTTCCTTTTAGATCTTCTACTGAAATAAATTCTATTCCTGAACATCATTATGTATACTACTTATGTGGATATAAGTAGCTCACACCACAATACTAGTGTATGTAGATACTAGATGTCTATTAATATTTATAATTAAAAAAAACACACACACCTTTTCTAACCTTATTCATTTAACTAAGATGTTTATCTTAAAATGTCTTGACAAACCTTGTCACTGGGTGTTTTTTTAAAAAAAAACGTTCACACGGATCTTCATTGTGTTTATTTAGAAAAGACCGAAAAAACAAACACGAAGGTGACCTAGAAAACTTTGGGTTTTTTGAAAAAAAACAAACAAAACAAATCAACCTAATTAGTAATGGCTAGACATTGATTTGAAATTTTCATTCAAAAATTACCTAATTCATGATTTCTAGTTTTGTTTAATCTTAAAAGTCTATGTCATATAAGTTTAATTCTGATTGTGTTCAAATGATTGGGATACAAGTATCGGTTTCCATTGTTTCATTCAAGTAATGGTGGTAGGTAGTGTTGCCCAATCTCTCTATTCCTTTCCATTGATGACAGTCCGGAAGCAGTGCTGGTGGAAGTAGGCACTGATTGCATATATTTATTACTTGAAGAAAATCTATGCAACTATGATCATACGGACGATGTTGAGATGACACTTAAGTTATGCATACCGCGCCTAGTCAGTTGGCGGTCAGTATATGTAGGTGTGGTATGTACATCTCACTCTACAGATGGAATTTACTTTTAAAATACTGGAAGGTGTCTGAGCTTTCACTCAGTCTTGGTGGTCAGGAGTTAATAGTGGTTGAGAGGTTTTTGTTTCCGGTTGCTGTGTAAGTGCTTGTCGTGACGTGACTAATGAGATCATTTTGTGTATAGTGGAAACTAGAGCAGCATGTGCCAATCTGGGTTATCTTTGTGGTTTTCATCATGTTAATTCACTTGAAAAAAGTCCGGTTTAAAATGTTTAAGTAGGAAGAATTCGCCTTATACTTGTGAAATCTAGCCTCCTCGTGTTGAGGGTGTTAAGCCACTCTCTGTGTTTGATCACTGTTGTCCAAGAAGTATTGCTAACGTTCAGTGGCAACACCATGTTAGTATTGTGAAGCATCTGTATTATGCATTCGGGTAGGTTCTTAGAGATGATGTAACACAGTTGCTTGTGACTTTACCGACAAAGCTTAAAATAAAAGCTAATAGTGGCTCTGTTGTAATTTTTGTTCACATTTTTTTGAAAGTAGGAGGAAGTTCTGTAACTAAAAGGTCTCTTTCTCACGTAATTTAATAACCGAGATTGTGAGATGATTCTTACCAAAGCAATTCATTACCAATCATAAGGGAATAGGAATCAAACAATTTCAATATCAAAGTTTTTTTCAAATGATATACCTATAGTAAGGATATTTTTTTGTGGAAGTTAACTACAACCTACCACTACTCAAATTTAACAATCATTGTATAGTTGAATTCATAAGTTAATTAAAGCTAGACCACCACGGAATGCATAGAAGCACTGGACGGCCGTTTCGTCCTCAATACCACAAAACACTTTTCTGATGATAATCATCATGTGCTCACTAGTGACTGGCTACAAGATGTATTTCCTGGGTTTCTAGTGAGAAGCCGTGACCAGTGGAGTTCAACTGGGCGTGTTGTGAGATAGTAACTCACTGAAGAGGATGATGGACGGTGGCGCAGTTTCATGAACTGGTTGAAGTTTGGCATTAAAACAATTGAATGACAACTCAGTGGTCTACAGGTTAAGCGTCTGTGCGCGACATCGATAGGTCCTGTGTTCGAATCCCACGAGCGAGATTGTTGATACGCACTTCTTAGTTGTCACATATTAGAACGGAACGGCCGTCCCGTATTTCCAGGTTTTCCATGGTGGTCTAGCTCTAATTGACTCATAAATTCAACTATTAAATTACTAAAACTCTCCACAAAACCCTCTTCTGATAATAATCATTGTATAACTATGCTGAACGATAAAATTTCCCAGAAAAAAACATTTTAAAAGTATGTTAGCAACTTAAAACGGTTTTTAAATCACAACATACTAATGAGTCTATAAAAAATAGATGTTAAGTATTTTCAATAGAAAATTTAACTTTCTGATTTCACATTGAAAACTCATTGAGTACGTTTGGATGTGCACTGCTGACGAGTCACGCTCTAAGACGAGACGGCTGTCCAGTACTTCCAGGTTTTCCAGTGGTGGTCTAGTTTCAAGTGACTTTAAATATAAAGATCTCTGTATATCAAGTAATCTCTATCTACTATATTCA